GCGTCCCGCACACCCATTTCGGCACATCCCTGACAGGTTTCGTGGCCCCATCATCCACCGGAGGCCCCAGTGGCGGCGCTCACATGCGTCACCCACACCCACCCAATTCGGCACACCCCTCACACGTTTCGTGGCCCCATAGGGAGCTCCACCGAAGGCCCCAGCGGCCGCGCTCACATGCGTCCCCGCCACCCATCCCGGCACGCCCCTCACAACAACAGGTTTCGTGGCCCCATAGGGAGCTCCACCGAAGGCCCCAGTGCTGCCGCCCGCATGCGTCACCACCCGCACCCAATTCGGCACACCCCTCACACGTTTCGTGGCCCCATAGAGAGCTGCACCGAAGGCCCCAGTGGCGGCGCTCACATGCGTCCCCGCCACACATCCCAGTACACCCCTCACGCGCTTCGTGGCCCCATAGGGAGCTCCACCGAAGGCCCCAGTAGCGGCGCTTACATGCGTCTCCGCCACCCATCCCGGCCCCCCCCCGCAGCAGCATCATGTTTCGGGGACCCATAGGGAGCTCCACTGGAGGCCCCAGTGGCGGCCCGCACATGCGTTTCCGCCACCCATGTCGGCACGCCCCGCGCGTGTTTCATGTCCCCATAGGGAGCTTCGCCGAATGCCCCAGTGGCAACCCATCTCGGCACACCCCTCACACGTTCCGTAATCCTATGGGGAGTTCCATTGAAGATGAAACCCGCAGTTGCGGTACTGACAACTGCATATGGTTGGGTTCTTCGCCAGGCTAATTCTGAGTCTGGTTGGCCCCATGCTGGGTCCTTGAATCCCCAAGTCGCAGTTGTTGTTTCCACACGCGGTTTCGGGGCTGACACGTGCCACCCGTTTTTTTGTGTCTGAGGTTGGTTAACCCCATGTTGGCTCCTGGAGTCCCAAATTCACAATTGGTCTTTCTCACACGGTTTCGGTGGTGGTACGTGTCACCCGCTGCTCGTTTCAGGCCATATGACCACATGTTGCCTCTAGTACCTCAACTCTGCAGTTGGTCTTTCTCACACGATTTCGGGGGTGACGCATGTCACCCTGTCACCCTGCTGTTTTTTCTCTGGTGTTCATTGGCTCAATGTGCTGCTACTACTACTACTACTACTACTACTACTACTACTACTACTACTACTACTACTACTACTACTACTACTACTACTACTACTACTACTACTACTACTACTACTACTACTACTACTACTACTACTACGACTACGACTACGACTACTACTACTACTACTACTACTACTACTACTACTACTACTACTACTACTACGACTACTACTACTACTACGACTACTACTACTACTACTACTACTACTACTACTACTACTACTACTACTACTACTACTGACTACTACTAATACTACTACTACTACTACTACTACTACTACTACTACTACTACTACTACTACTACTACTACTACTACTACTACTACTACTACTACTACTACTACTACTACTACTACTGACTACTACTACTACTACTTGACTACTACTACTACGACTACTACTACTACTACTATTACTACTAATACTACTACTAATACTACCACTGTTATTGTTACTACTACTACTACCACTACTCACTACTACTACTATTATTACTACTACTACTACTACTATCACGATTACTACTACTACAACAACTACTACTACGACGACGACGACTACTACTACTAGACTACTACTACTACTACTACTACTACTACTACTACTACTACTACTACTGCTACTACTCTTACTACTACTACGACTACTACTACGATGACTACCACCACCGCCACCACCACTACTACTACTGCTACTACTACTACGACTACTACTACTACTACTACTACTACTTCTACTACTACGACTACTACTACTATTCTTACTACAACTACTACTACCACGATTACTGTTACTATTACTAGTACGAGTACTACTGCTACGACGACGACGACGACGACGACGACTACTACTACTACTACTACTACTACTACTACCACTACCACCACTACTACTACATCTACTATTACTACTACTACTACTACTACTACTACTACTACTACTACTACTACTACGACTACTACTACTACTACCAATACTACGACTACTACTACGGCTACTACTACTACTACTACTACTACTACTACTACTGCTACTACGACTACGACTGCTTTTACTATTACAACTACTACTACTACTACTACTACTACTACTACTACTACGACTACTACTACTACTACTACTACTTCTAGTACTACTACTACTACTACTACTACTACTACTACTACTACTACTACTACTAGTACCTCTACTACTACTACTTTTTACTACCACAACTACTATTATTATTACTACTACTACTACTACTGCTGCTGATGCTGCTGCTGCTACTACGATTACTACCTCTACTATTATTTACTATTACTACTAGTACCACGACTGCTACTACTACTCGGACTACTACTACGATCAGTACTACTACGACATTTTTACTATGTCTACTACTTTTACGAGTACTATTACTACTGTTACGACTACGACTACGACTACTACTACGATGGCTATTACTACGATTACTACTACCACTACTTCTATCACAACTACTATTTTTTTACTGCTACTACCATTATTTTTACAACTACGACAACGACGACTAGGAGTAGTAATAGTAGTAGTAGTAGTCGTCGTCGTAGTAGTAGTAGTAGCAGTAGTCGTCGTAGTAGTACTAGTACTGGTACTGGCGCTCGTACTAGCCTGGGGGCGTAGTATTAGTAGTAGCAGTATTAGCAGTAGTAGTAGTAATAGTAGGTAGTAGTAGTAGTAGTAGTAGTAGTAGTAGTAGTAGTAGTAGTAGTAGTAGTAGTAGTAGTAGTAGTAGTAGTAGTAGTAGTAGTAGTAATAGTCGTAGTAGTAGTAGTAGTAGTAGTAGTAGTGGTAATAGTAGTAGTAGTAGTAGTAGTAGTAGTAGTAGTAGTAGTAGTAGTGGTAGTAGTAGTAGTAGTAGTAGTAGTAGTACGAGTAGTAGCCGTCGTCGTAGTCGTAGGCGTAATCGTAGTAGTTGTCGCCGTGGCACTAGAAGTGGTAGTAATAGTAGTAGTAGCAGCAGCAGCAGTCGTAGTCGCAGCCTTGGTCATCGTGGTAGAGTGTCACTAATAGAAGTGGCATCCGTGATCGTAGTGGCCATGATGGAAGGACGCCGAGAGAAAGGGATGAGCAGGAGAAGCAGGACCGCCACGACCACCACCCTTTGCTAAAAACAAGAAAGTCGTGGAGTAGCAGACCAGATTCTCAAACAATCCGGCTCGTTGTGGTCCGGATTCAAAACGGAATTGAATTAAAGTGTCGCATGTTTTAGATTCAGAGAGTGTTCATGTTCATTGGAAATCGAATGAGGGCCAAACATGATTCAATCGGGTCATAGGATTTTAGTTGGATTCGAATACGCATCTGTTAAACATTCCATAGACATGATCCCAGGCTCCAAGGATTGCCATTACATTCGAACGAATCATTCAAAGGGAGACACTGGGAATGGAATAGTCTCCTGGACCACAGCATTTGAGTTGCATTTGCATGGGCCACCAATACGAGTTCAATCGGAATGGAGCAGAAAGTTGTCACAAAAGACTTCAAGTGGATATGAACTAGAACACAACAGTAGTTAAATAGGGATGATATAAACCCCAGACGCAGAGAATTTTCATTCGAGTCGAAGAAGGATCCACTGGAAGTGCGGTAGGAACTGGGAGAGGCCGCGGAATCCGAATATTACAGTTTAGCTTGAATCCTAGTTCATAGACAGTCAACAAACTTGCAGCAGACCCCAGGTTCAGACTTCGATATAATTTGAATCTAAATCCATTGAGCTTCCCATGCGGAATTTCAGCACATACATCAGCAAACTGCGATTCGAAAAAGAACATGTGATAATGCGAGAAAAGGGTACGTTATGCTCCGCTTTTCCCCCCCGTCGCCACGAATAAAATGCGTTTTCTTGGCGAACGTATCTCGCCGGACCTACGTTTTCAGTTTGCGCGTTGAGCTCCGTGTCAGCACGCCACGCTTTGCGTGTTGCGTATCGGAGCAGTTCAGATCCAGAGACCCCCGACGTTGTATTCTTCAGTGCAGTGGGCTCCCGATTGCCTCGATCCCTTCGCTGGGACAGGCGTGAATGGCCCCCAGAGGCCGGAATGGCCTCCCATCGTGGTTTTTGTTCTCGACGAGAGGGGGGCTGGGTATTGCGGTCTTTCTCCCCCCCCTCAGAGCCTTCCACTCGTCCGGAAACCCAGATCGCAGACGATTTGATAGTGTTTTTCAACTCACGGCTCCTTAGGTCCCGACCCCTTCCCAGGTAGCAGCTTCTCGTCCTAGAGCAGTTTTTCATTGTTCGCAGGGCCCGAAACGGCTCCAAGAAGGTAAGGCTGGCCTCAACATCGATCCCCCGGGCCTGTCCCCGGGGTGCGTTTCGGCTAGACGTGCTCGGCGGATCCAGCCGTGGCGGCGAGAGCGCATGTCGGAGGCCCCAAAAGGGAGGCTCTCATCGTCCTCCCGCCCGCGCCTGAGCCTTCCCTTCGTCTTTTCGGGGGAGAAGCAGGGACCACCGCCACCGCGAACCCATCGGGGGGGGGGGCGGGGGGGCAACCCCCCCCAGCGGTGGCACGCCCGAGCGTCATCCAGTGCCGGGCGACCCTCGGGCGTGCCACGGGGTGGGTCCTCCCCGGCGTCAAGCAGTGGCGAAGCGTCCTGGCTCGCCTATAGGCCCACCAAAGAACGTTCTAAGAACCTCTCGTGGTCTGCACGAGACGTTCTTGGAGCATTTCTGGCCGAGACCGCCTCGTTTTGACACGTCGGGCTGGCGTTCTCAGAGCACTTGTGGGCCCTACAAGAGCACCTCGTGGCAGGCCTGCGGGGATGCCGGGCCGGCCGGTCCCTGCTCAACGACGGGCTCTCGGCGGCGGCGCTCTTCGCTGCCTTGCCGTGCCCCAGGGCGGGGGGGGGCCGAGGCCTCGACGTGGTCCAGACGCTCGGCTGCGTCTTCGAGCAGATGCCGGGGCTCCGCTGGGACGCGCGCGAGCGGGCGCAGGCCTCCCCTGGCGGGCCCCCCGTGCGCGGGCTGCGCCGAGGGCCCCCCGGCGGCGCCTCGGGCGCCGCCCCTGGCGCGCTCCGCGCGCCAGGGAGGGGGGTCCAGCGCCGATCCGAGAAATTCGCGCGGACCTCCGAGTTTTTATGTTTATGTCTTTTTTTGTTCCCCTAGTGTATCCTAGTGTTCGTCGTGCCTGTTGGGTGTTCTTGTGCATCTTGGGACGGGTGCCCTTGGATGCTCTGTTTGTTTGGGCCGCCGGGGGATCGCGTGTTTATGATGGGTGTGATGCTTGCCTAGGTCCGATTGCATTGTGGGACCGAGGTTGTAAGATCGAGGTAGGTTCGGGGAGGGTATCCTAGCGTGTTCTTCGTGTTTGTTGGGTGTTCTTACACATCGTGGGACGGGTGCCCTTGGATGTTCTGTGTGTTTGGGCCGACAGAGAGCATGTTCTTGAGGGACGTTCTTCTGGCCCAGGTCCGACTGTACTGCAGCATCGGCCTTCACCCCTCTCGATTGCACTCGCGGATCTGTTCCGCGATGTTTTTTTTCGCTTGGCTCGTGATGCGAGAGCGGCACGCGCGCGAGCCAACAGACCAAGCGACCTGGCCCAGGGGATGCTGGCGAAACATGTGGTTGCTGCCTGGTTCGGCTGCGCACACGAGTGACCTTTCGCCGGAGAGACCTTTGGTGCGGGCTCACGGGGGTGGCCTCAGCACTGGCCCGCGCGCTTGGATTTGGGCCCTTCGTCGTCCCCTGAAGCCGCGCACCAAAGGTCACTCTTGCCCAGGGTCACTCTTGCGTGTAGTCGACTGGTTGGAAGAAGAAAGATGTGAACCAGCGTGGACCTCAAACGGTGTGTTTCTATCAAGCGTAGGCTGTGCAATCTATGTGAGGCAGCGGACGGCGGCGGAAGGTCGGCGGAAGTAAAACGAGGCCTCCTCCGCTGGCGGAGGCCAGCGAAAGACCGGCGGAAGGCGGCGGAAGTAAAAAAACGCCCCCAAGAGATGACAACGTTTTTGGGTTCAGGGTTTCCGAAATCCGCCATGTGGTGCAAACGGTGCACTGTTTCGTTATCTGCTCGGAAGAAGACAGAAATGCCTCGCCCAGCGCCGCCTCCGATGGCGGGAGGAGGAGCCGCGGCAGCCGCCGACGTCACGAGGGGCCTCGCGGCCTCGTTGGCCTCGTCATCTCCCTCGTCCTCGTCTTCGCCGTCGTCCTCCGCCTCCTCCTCCGGGCCGTGGGCCCTCGCGACTAGGACCATCGACGAGGGCAACGACGGCGACGAGGACCGCGGCGGGGGCGAATGCGAGGAGCCCTCGCTTTCGCCCCCGCCGTCATCCCAGACCCCCGACGTCGTGATTCTTCCACAACGTCGACCCCCAGAGGTCTGGACCCCTTCCCCGAAACTGGTTTTTCGTCCTGAGTCGTTTTTTGACGGCCCCGAGGGCCGGCAAGGGCCCCCGCAGGCCGAAAATAGCGAAAGACCTCCCGCCGTGACTTTTTCTCACGACGCGAGGAGGTCCGGGATCCTCGTCGCCGCCGTCATCCCTGCCCGCCTCGACCCCGCGAGCGCGGAGCGCGGCCGGAGCGCCTCGCGCTCGCGCGCGCGCCCGAGCGAGGTCCTCCGCACCATGACCTGGCTCGCCAGCAGCCTGTGCCGGGGGAGCCCTGAGCAGGAGGAGCGCCCGCGGGCGCCCAAGAGGCCCCACTCCCGAGGGGCGCCGCCTCCTCCTCCTCCTCCTGCTCCTCCTCCTCCTCCTCCTTCCGCTC